TCTAAAACCTGTTGGTGTTGTAATTATTTCCATGTGCCACTAGAATGAAAACCTGAAGATGTATTCCCTCTACTCCCACCTTTTCACTCTTGGCAATCACTTTGCTGCCCAGGGACCTTGTTCAGAAGTCATCACTTTCATTTCATATTAGCCAATACTACATCTGGCTGCTCACAGAGGAGAAGAATTTTAAATAATTAATTTTCCTCACAGTCACTTTCTCTTCAGTTTCCTTTCTTGATATCCAAAGGCAGCAGCTCCAGTACAGCCCCAGTGCTGAACTTGGCCATTTAAGTTACAGATGAAAGCTGTGAAATGACAGATGAGTGAAAGGACAGCTTTATCACTTCTAGGCTAACTACCATATTGGGATTTGGCAGGCTTTCAAATAACTGGTATGTTAAAACTGTTGATTTTGGGTGGTTATCTTTGCTAACAACTCTCCTGAAGTGTCCGGAGTGTTGGTCTGCTGGAGGAAACCCAGGACCAAGAGTCCAACTGCCTGTCTGCTTCTGGCTGACTGGGCTGGAAACATTGACCTGAGAAGAAGGTTTACATACTTCAAGGAGCATCCCTCAGGTTTCTAAAAAAGCATTTAAATCTTTAGATGAATATTTTTATTTAGCTATAACAAAGTTGTCTTGGCCATCAGAGGACAACACAATGAAACAAGAACAGGTTAGTCGATAGTTCTTTGCTAGCTCATTTTTCTTCATTTCTGAGTGTGATTCTGACTGACAATGATGATCTCCATAAATGACACCAAATTGGCACCTGCTTAAAGGACCAGTCCCAGTCACATCATCCCATATACTCCCTGGAGTCTGTAGCCACCCTTCTCCAGGTGCTATATGTATTACAATACACACTTCATTCAAGCTCCAGACCCAAACCTCTTCTGAATGTGTCTGTTTTGACCAAGTCTTCACAAAACAGGCTTTTGTGGAAAATACAGATGTGCAACCTTTATTCTAAAGTAGTGCCAAACAGCAAAACAGAAAGGGTTTCACAAGTAGTTTCACTGGGTTTCTTTTAAGGTCCTCTTGTTATACCTGATTGCTTATAATTGAAAATGTAGTCGTATCTGCATTCCTGGCTCCATCAATCAACCATTCTTTTTTCTTACTATTATGAAGCACTACTCAAGCTTCTACTAATAATTTTGCTTGACCTTTATTAAAGACCAAGCATTAGCTGGCAATTATACTTGGTGATCCGTTTGGTGACTGAGGCTCAGTGATTTACTGTAAATTATAAATAGTTCAAATGTTTCATTATGTTTATTCTTTATACAAGCTTTGTGGCCAGGTAAGCACTGACATGACATTCACTGTTAAATGATCTCATTAAACTTCTTAATTTAAGTGGTGCAACACTTCACCTGACACATTATCCAAGGACTCCTGCAATGCACATTAAACATTCAGCATCAATAGATGCTCTACCATACTTCACCTTGTTGGGAGTGAAATTTCAGTCCCTGAACATAAGGTTGACTACCTGATGCTGTTTGTCAGAGACAATAAATAATGCAAACAGATACTCATGTAAAGTAAGAGGTTAAAGACATCAATAGCTTTCCCACAGAGTTTTGAAAGAGGCTCTCAAAAGACTTTAAATAATGAAAAAAATGCCACTGAAATTAAAAAAGTTAAGGAAAAGGAAGGAACCTGCCAGTTTCTTTATTTTCTTCATGAACGCATGACTGAGAGATGATTTCTTGAGAATTCTGAAGGCCTGTGCCCTTTTTTTATTCACAACCCCAGAGCAAAAGGAGGAGCAGTCACACAACCTCCCACCTCAGAACTGCTTGTAGAGGTTTGTTTTTAGCCATTTCATCCCTTGTTTTCCTGCTGAGAATATTCAACAGAGCTGAATGGAGTCAAGCTTGGATAATGCGTGACATCATTTCACTTAAGCCAATAAATAGCATATTGCCTCATGACTAAAGGGAAACACAGTATTTTTGTTGGAGGCACCTCTATGTCCGGACTCTGTGTACCAGCAATTTCTACTGCAGTAACAACTAAAAGCACATGGATTAGGGCCTCCTTTGTGCTTGTTGCTGGACCTAACGACTCCACAAACTGAACATTAAGGCATGAGAAGGAATAATAGTGGTATCTGAATTTTCCTGGCTTGCACATATTTTATTTTACACATTTTTAATTGTTTCCCTCACAAAATGAATGATTCTAATATTTTTTTTTTCCCACTCTGCCTTTATATTGTATGATCCTTGACATCTGCTTCTGGATGTCTCTTCTGAAAGATGAAGGGCTCCTAGCAATTGTAATGTAGCCTGTGAACATACCAGACTGCTCCCTGGACAGATTTAGGCTTCATCATATAGTATTAACCCCACATACTGAATGTGTTTTTCTGACTTATAAGGCTGGATTAGCTTTTATTATCAGAAGAGAAGCAGTAAAGTTTTCAGTGTTACAGATGGAATGGCAGATGGGAAGCGAAAGCTTAATGTGAAGCAGCTCTGGATAAAAACTATTAGTCCACAAAATTCATATGTTCTTATGCAGGAAAACCTAGCAAAAACCACTGCAATATGACTAACCAGTGAGAGAAGTGTAAACTGCCCCTAGCCCATTACTTGACAAATCATGGCATGAGGTCTGAAAGAAGGAAAAAACTCCTCAAACACCCTTTTCACTATTTCTTAGAAAAACAACCAGCTCTCTATGAAGTATGCAGAGAGGTAATGCCTTCCTAAAGATTATATACAATATTAATTTATTGCACCTCCACTATGAAAATGAAATGGATTCATACATATATTTGATGAGATAACATTTTCCAGGGTTTATGGCTATAATATTCCATATTCAAAATAATTTAACAGTACCTATAAGTCACTGTCATTAAACTTGTAGCACTGAAAAAGGCTTTTTACTTTTTCTTGAAGTGCATAGTGTAGAGAGGAAGCACATTTCCATCAGTTCTGGTAACAGAATACTTTGACAGAAAGGGAAGTGAGCACTTCAGATGACTGCCCAGTTGCCAAAAACCCACCACGCAGCTCCGAGAGTGGCTGCAACAGGCAAGCGTGACCTTCAAGAATTTCCTCCATGAAGAAACAAGCACCTGGAAGCTGAACAGCACTTGTTTAAAGTTTGAATGACTGCAAGAAACCACGGCATTATTACAAAGAATTCATTAACACCAAACTGGCTACATTCTACTCAACAAATCCTGTCCTTGTTTATGGCCATGTCTGTAAGTGGCTGATCCCATTTGGCATTGTGGTTTGACTTGTTCCACTGGGAACTAAGAGCAGTTGAGACTGCCACAGGTCATGGCCTCAGCATTACATGATGTATAGGGTGGACTCAACACCACAGAAGGATAACTGGATGCATCCACTGGAAGTAGTCTATAATAATACCAGACCTTCAGCAATTATTCTGCTACAATTTATCTTACTTGATTCAAAGTGCCGTCGCCTTACCTCTTCCTTTATGGTCCTGCATTAGTCTACTTTTTATTATCAGTGCAGCATTTCTCACCAGGAAAGTGAACAATATGGAACTACATACAAGCAAGATAATATGTCAAAATTGTTAGGTCCCTTTCTGTTGGACAGCACAAATGTTTAAATCAGATGCAACACAAAATATTGTGATTTCTTAATTCAAATCTCCATGTCCCATTATCAATGCAGTATCTATGCGTCTTGTGCTCTTCCTTAATTTTTCTCCCCTAAGTGTGTTGCATTTCACCAATGGTGCTTAGCAATGGGGACCAGCAATAAAGCCTTTTGTCAATTCTCACAAAATCTTTCCTAAGGCATACATTCATGCTTTTTTTCCTTTTTCACTTCAGTGAGGATTTCTGTCCGAGCAGCGGCTTCAGGAAGGGACCCATACTTTGAGAGAGATCTTGCAGACACCTAATCAGTGAAAGGCAGTGAAAGCATCTAATATATTTATTTTCTGTGAGTAATAAGCATGTTATGTCATCATTCACCAGAAAATCACCCAAGAAAATTACTTCCCCTTTCATCAATTCATTTCAACACACAGGGAAACAGAAATCACAAGGAGAATTTCCTCTTTCCCTCTTGATATAGCCTAAACTCAACAGTTTAAGGACACTTGGTTTTTTTTTGGGGGGGGGTTGGGTCTTTTTTGGTTTCTTTTTGGGGGCTGTAGGTTTTTGGGTTGGTGTTTTTTTTGGTGTTTTTTTTGTTTTGTTTTGTTTTTTGGATTTGGACTATCTACTTCTGCACAATGTAGTTAACCTTACGGAATGCAGCTGTGGGACCTGGGTTATGTAAATCCAGAGAGAATATAATTTCACTTAAAATCACAAGCCTTGTCATGTGATGGTGTGTGAAGTTCTTTGCCTGGTGCTATCTGAATAAAGGTATTCAGGCAATGGTTGATACTGAAGATATAATTGACTCCTAGCAACTTATTTGCCACTTTAGCTACCATTATCCTCTGCAAAAAAAAGTACTAACTAAAAAAAAAAAAAAAATAAAGGAAAAGGAGGGCATTACCTTCACTGAATCTATATTCATATCTTCAACTCTTCCTCAGATATCAAATCAAACTGTTGATCAGAGCTCTGGAAAGGAGGAATCTTTCCATGCCTGGGGTCCACTTGCTGAGCTCCAGTACTTCCTACTACTTTACTCATCCTCTCTTGCAGATGTCCCTTACTGGAAATAACAACTAAATAGAGCAGCCCCTGCTTCCTCGGTATAAGTGAAGAACCAGTGCTGCTAGCCTGCTCACAGCCACAATCCCTCTTAGGTAAGCAGCAGGCACATGGGGTACAGTAAGGTGATCTGAAAGCCTTGGCTAAAGTGTGGCTTTCAGACACCAGCCTCATCAAGAGGAGTCTTCTGCTGTGAGACAGAAGAAACTGCCCCTCTGACCTCTGTTTCTTTCAGCACAGCACAGACATGTCATTCCTTATATCCTTTGATACATATTTCCTTTAGGAACAAAACATGGACATTCTTAAAACACTCATTGTACCTGATTGGGTAGTCAGCAGCACTGAGGTTAATGAAGAAATCCCATGGCCAGTCATTCATCTCCATTAAGTCCCTCATGGTCTGCAGATAGGTGGACAGAAGACTTGCTCCTCCCCAGATAGTTGCCATTCTCCAAGAAGTGACTCTCACATTTGGATACTGGTTGGCAAACTGGAGGACTTGCCGGTGCAAATAATTGGATCTCTTTACAGGAGAAAAAAGCAATACATTCAAGTTACTCCATCCAAAATAGTCCCTAACCACCAACTCTACTTCTTGACTCACTGAGTGTTGCCATTGCTTTGCCCTCACTTACTGTGGCGCACAACCTTCTTTTGCTAAATGCTAATTTGTAAATGTATAGAGACCCCTGTTTAGGTCTTTTTATTACAACTACAGTAATCACTAATCAATGTAACTAGCTCTTATTTATCATTTGTCATCAGTAGATCCCAACGGGCTTTTGTAAAGGACGTGACTTTTACTTCACACTGTAAAAGGGAGGTAGTAAAGCAAATTGCCCAAGGCACCTTGGGGTCAGCTCTCCATCCAGTGGGCAACCATTATCAGTCTGCATCAACTTAATTACTGTTAACTAAATGTACAACAGACAGACATGGATAGATACTCATAGACACATAGGGAGAAATGAAGTCTGTTACACTGAGAAGACAACAGGAAAGAGAAGGAAAACAAAAGAGGCTCCAAACACCTAACAGATGGAGAGACAAAATGTGACATGCACTCTGCAGCAGAGGTGAAGAGAAGATGAAGAAGATGACAAAGATGGGTAGACTGACAGATGGTGAGACAGGCAATTTATAACCAGTGATATATTACCTTGTCAACATGAATGTAATAAAAATGGTCTTTATGGTAAATAGCCTTAAACATGCGTTGGAGCTGCCGAGAAGCTCTGCCATGAACAACCAAGACAAATGCGATCCTGACTGGGTTGGCTGGCATGTATTCTACGGAGTCCTCATCCCACTGTACATTGTTGTTGGCTTTTCCTGTTCAAAAACAAAACACAGGAGATCTCTGAGTGTATCCACAGGGCAGGGGTGCAGAGAGCAGTACACATTTCACCTCAGCTCTTTCTTCAAAAGCAGTTTCTAAGGAGACGTGAGAAGTCATGAGAGGTGCCAGCCTGTGGGCCATCAAGATTGTACACTTCTCCTCCGTCACTGTACAGGGTCATCACCCCATGGGCAGCAGCCATGCCAGCCTTCCCATGCAGTCCCTCCTGAGTGCCTCAACCTGGACAAGGCTGCATCAACATGGATAAGTACCCCAATGTTTATGAGTTGGACCAAGCCCTACCCGGGTACACACATTTGCATGTTCAAAGGAATCACTTCAAAGTTTCTAAGAACTGTTCAAAGTATTCAAAAGATGTCAAGGCCAACTTCTCCCCTGATCCCCCAGAAATGAAACCCCTCCATTTATCAAAAGATGCTTGCTCCTGGGATCAGCACAGCTCTGCTGAGAAGCTGGTGAAACTCTGCTACTTAACAGCTGCTGAAGATTATCTCAACTGATAGCATTTATTTGTAACAGCAGATGTACCCTGGAACATTTAAATGGCAACCTGCATATCTTCACTTCTTCATGTAGAAGGGCTTTTGCAATCCTGTTTAGATGTTATGTTCATTTTTATTTTAACTGAGGAATTTCTGGTCTCCATTTTCTAAAGCAAACACCACAGTGTAAGGTTAAGACAGGATGTGCTGATTAACTGAAGAGCTAGAAGGACATTTTTAATCAGGAATTTAAAGTGCTTTGTTTTTAGTTTATGTATCAGTTCTTCAACTCAAAAACCTGAACACAATGTAAGAAAAATATAATTTTATCCAAAACCTGACATTCATTCTTCAGTTAAACAACATCTTGAGTGTTCGGACCTTGTAAAGGACCTTTCTCAAAAAAAAAAAAAAAAAATTTAGGAAGAACCTGAAATTTTGAATATAAGCAGAACAAGGAAGGAAAGTACCTCAAAGCTTAAAAAACCCTCCTGTCCCAATTTTCCTTCTGCATTTTGATTTTTTAAATGAAAGGCAATATCATTGTCTGAAAAGTTACCTAGTCTCTTCTTGTGCCCCACCCCCCCACCGGTACAATTTTTTAAAGTCCTAAGATCTGAGTTGTTACTTTGGTTTCTTTCCTCTAAAAGAGAAATCCATTTGACAGTCTTGGAAAGTCTGAACTTCTGACTATACTGAAAATATGTATTTAATTTTGGGAAATGCATGTGAACACAGGCAGGACTCATGCTCATTTCCCACTACAACTAAAGGTTTGGAAATGGCCATGCATGAGCTGAACCACATAAAAGCAGCAGCTGTGCAACCATGTGCAAGAACATTAATGCAGTTCCCTTCAACCATATGCAACACTTTGGCCAAATAGGACACTTCACACTCAGTGCACACCTATCTTCTCAACAAATAACCAGCTCAATAAAACTCCCTGGCCAGGCTAGCAACCACAGGCAGGACAGGACTTTAACCTGCTTTGTTTGAAAGTTATGTCTCCCCTGCCCTCCCAGAAAAACATCAGAATTGGGTTTTACATTATTTCATAAGAACTACTAAACACCTTTATTTTTTTCCTCACCATCGGAAAAGCTGTTTTTAACTACCTTCCCTAAAACAGCCTGGGGAGCCAATTAGGTGTTCAGGTGAGTTAGAAATAAATTGATGCCATTTAGAAGATTCCAGGTGTCCAGGGCAGATAATCATAGTATTAGAGGTTAGAATTTCCTAACTGACTCCAATTAGAAGGGGACTCAGGAAGAGACCCTCAGCAAACTTGGGAGTGTCAGAGGTGGATCTTCTAACAGCTAACAAAACCCTCAGGTTTGAAAGAAGCATAAAACTCTGAGGAGCGCTAGCTCAACCATCCTCTTTTCAACTTGTCATAGATCCTCTCTTTCTTCTTAAAAACACGAAGGAGTCTATCAGGATAAGTCTGTAGTGGTTTGAGCCGGGTTAACAGCCAACCACCACAGATGGTCATGAGCAAAAGGCAGACTCGTTAGGGGAAGAACAAAACCCATACATTTATTACAGATACTAACAACACGTAACAAAGTAGGACAGTGAGAAGCATTGCCACATCTTGAGAACACCTTCCCCCCACCCCTCCCTTCTTCCTGGGCTCAGCTCTGCTCCCGACATCTCTACCTCCCCCAGCGGTGCAGGGGCAGGGAATGGGGGGGATGCAGTCAACGCTGCTGCTTCTTCCATCTTTGGTGAGGGGAGCTTCTGGAACTTGTCCCCCCTTGCTCCATCGTGGTCCCCCTCTCCCAGAAGACAGTCCTCCACAGGAGTCTCTCTCCCACAGCTGCAGCCCTTCCTGAGCTGCTCTGGCGTGGGACACCCCCACACGCTGCAATCCTCCCAGCGCTGAGTTGCAGCAGTGGGGTCTACTTTTTCCCACAAGACCCCGGCCTTCTTCAGGCACAGCACCTTGATCATCCAGGTGAAAACAAACACAGGCCATAAATCAATGTCTGCTCCACTGCAGATCTTCATGGGTGGCAGGGGGGGCCGCCCTGCCGTCTCCCCACAGGATACAGGGGGGTCTCTGCTCCGGCACACCTCCCCCCTCCTTTCTTCCTCCGTTCCTCCACTGACCTTGGTGTTCATGCAGCTGCAGCAACTCCTCCTCACAAGTCCCACTGCCCATCATCACGTCCCTTCTGAAATACGTTATCGCAGAGGTGCAGCTGATCGGCTCAGTTTCCAAACAGAGGTGGGGCAGACTTGGAGCTGGGGGAGCTTCGAGAAGCTTCTCACAGGGGGACGCCCCTGCAGCCCCCTCCCCCGCCACCAAAGAAAAAAACGCCACCACTCACTCAACCCAGGACAAAGTCATACCCAGCTTCTGCAGTAGTGCCTTTTTGGATGCCCCCATGCTCCTCCCACCTCCACATACCCACCATCTCAAGACTTCTTTTGCAGGCATTGGGGACACAATAGGCTTGCACGAGGTTGCAGGACAAAACTGAGGTTGCACCTGGGCACAGTTATCAGATAACATGAGTACAGCCAAAAAGCCCACTGTACCTACCAAAACACCTACAGTTATTAAAAAAAGATGCTCATGTCTGTTCGATACAAGGAACAAGAAAGATGACATTTGCCAAGTGGGAAGAGTGAGACAGAAAGACATTTTTCCCCAGGTTTTGGAAACTGGAAGCATATGTAGATAAAAGTAAACAATACCATAAGCTTTCTCTTTTTAAATGTATTAATTAAAAAAGTTGAACACAGAAAAAAGGCCTTTGTCTAATCCTTCTTGTTGCATCTTCCTTATTAAAGGGAATAGCATGAACTCAGAAAAAACAGATCGACTAAACATTTGCAGCGCACTGTTTCAGGTTACCCAAATGATTTTACCCCCTCAGTTGTACTGAAATGCCCTTGAGTAATTCAAACACTCCTTTTAGACAACCATGAGAGATTCTGCTGCAACAAGAGCAGCATATGCCAGAAAAGGATGGTTTCAACATCTCCCTTAACCCTCCCTTCAAGTTTCTCCTCCTCAACAGTGCTTCCCTAGCACACTTGCTTTAAGTCAGAATCTGTTCTTTCCATCCCGAAGGCCTAGGAAAGTTGTATGTGTAAGAAGTGTGTCCAGTCTCCAGAACAAAGCTCTTTTCTGGACTATATGGCAGCTATGTGACTGTCCAGGAATATACACAGATACAGAACACTAAAGAGCCTACAAAGTTCCAGAGGCTCACTGCCCCATGTGAAAAACCCTTACATCTCTCCAGCCCCTCAAGGAACAGCTATCTGCAGTAGTATTGCTCATAAAGTAATGCAACTTTATTGCCCTCAATTGTATTCAGACTACCCATCAGGAAATTTCCAGCCCCATGAGTCACTCAACTTTAAATGGAACACCAACAACTCACAGGGTATTTCTTTAAAAAAAACCTCTGCCACTAATTCAATAAGACTTGTATGAAGAGCATTAAAAGATTATAAAAAAGCTTCAATCTCATTTCTTCTATAATTTTCAGTTTGTTTATTAAGGCCATTTGCCTATGCTTAGTTCTATGGTTTCTCCTGCGTAGCTGATGAGCTTCCCAATGCATATGCTTAGGGCTTTTGCACAGTGACAGGGACAGAAAGGGACTGTGAAAGAAAGAAAACGTGTTTGGAAGGAGAACTGACAGGGGGATGAAGGGCAATGGCAATTACTAAAACAACCTATTTTTCTTTTAAACTGCTTTGATTTCAAGCTAATGATGCCCCATCAATGGACTCAAATATTTTTAGTGGTTTTCATTACATTTGTGGATACCTCTCTTCTGAAATTAGTGGCTTTCTGCAATGATATGCACAAGGTGAGGGGAATTTAAAATAGCCATATTGTGGGTCTTTTATTTAAATTAACTTGCTTTCAATACCCACGCTATCATTTATCTAGCAATTACTGAGAATAAAATCCTCAGGAATTTTCACCTGAAATTCCACCTCACTTCACTGGGTTTCTCTAACAAATTCCTGTAGTGAATTAATTTCCTCTATGCTATTTTCCTACTCTAACCTTTCTCCACATGCTCTTTCCTTCCTTCTCTTCTAGATTTAATTTTCTTATAGTCCCATTTTCTACCTACATACTATTATGGATTCTTTAATCCTATTCTTGGCTGCCTGGAATTTCACGAAGGTAAGAATATTGTATTTTTTCCATCTGTCAGAATATCTGCTACTTCTGCTCTATACTGATACTTCCCTGGTTTTAGCCTGTGGCTGATTAGTACCCTGTATTTTCCAGCCTACTCCACTGATAAAGAACCAGCCTGGTTTGCAAATAAGATGCAAGTGGCAGGAAACCTTCAATTGAATATCTGCTTATTAAAATATACAGTAAAGCTTCGGAGCTGTATGAACCATGTCAAGATCTGAACAGCTCTAGCCATTGCATTTCTATAAAACTTGCGCATACCAAAGTCTTGCACATCATGTTAATGCTTACATATTAATGACCTACCTCT